TCGAGATATATGGGATTATTATTGGTGGCCCAATAATTTGTTATTGTATGTGTATATGTTTTTAAATTGTAGATTGTTTTAACTGCTGTAAACCGCAATGAGTCGCCGTTCCAGGCTGAGATATTAGCGGTATACAAGTGTATCAAATAAATAAATAAATAAATAAATAAACTATTTCTGAATATTGCTTGTCCATGAAAGTCTTATAAAATGGATGGGTTCTCCATAAATCAATGGACAATTTGAAGACACATACAACAATCCAAGCAGTGTCAGATACTGATAATAAAAAGCAGTAGTCAGGGATAGTCAAATGCTGACTGTTGCTGTACCATGATCCAGTCTAGTTCTATTTTTCTTACTATCACACATTTGGCAAATAGACATGCACTTAAGGAGTATTTGGAAAATCTTAAGACCATTTGCAGCAGAGAAGAACAATTTGGACCAGTTTGGTTCCAGTTTTGTTTTAAAGCAACTGTTTTTGCTGATGGCAGCATACTGGATCAGTGCCCTAATATTTCTATCACTAGTTCCTCTGAGATATGTGTTCACTTGTTGATGGCATTTTCAGTTTGAGGTTGACTGAAGATAAAGAAGAAATCAAGTGCTCCCCCTGGGGGTTGCTACAAAATGCACATCTTTTTAGAAACACAGAGGGTCATTGTACAGTATCTGCTGGAATTGGGTTCTAGGAACTTCATCACACACAAAAGAAAATCCAGTTAAAATCTGGTTTCTGCCCTCTGCAAAATTCTGGGATTTGTAGTTTTGTGAGGCTGTTAAAGGCTGATCCCTAAACGACAAGCCCCAGAATTCTGCAGGAGGCAAAAACCGGATTTTAAGTGGGGTTTTTTGTAGTGTGATGAAGTGATAGGACCCAAAATCCATGGATGCTCAAGCCCCATTATGTACAATGGTATAGTAAAATGGTGTCCATTATGTAAAATGGCAAAAAGGCTTCCATATATATATTCAAGCCATGATGAATGGTAGAATTTGTGAATGCAGAATCCATGAATATGTATGGCTGGTTGTAAAATGCTTATACTGGGGAAATTAATGTATAACAAAGGCCAAAATATTTATCTGAGCAAGGAATGCAGAGCTATCAGCCTGTGGTTGGTTTATTAATTTGCTCTTTCTCATTGAAGTAAAAGTGTCCTTAATCTTCTCGGTCTAACCCTGTGCTAGGAAGGATAATTGTGAGGATGGTTGCATTGTTGTTGACAACATTTAATTAATTTTTATTCCATTTTCCCTCAACACTCACTCTCTGAGTTCTCCTGAAGGTTGCTGAGATCTTCTTGTTGCAGAGATGTTGAGCAATATTCTGTAACAGAGGTGAGATGAAAATCTTCCTGTTGCTGAGAAGTTACTATAGATCCTCAAGGTGGGAGAGAGGCATCAACACTTCTCCATACCAAGAATACTGTATATGGGTTGTTGTAAGTTTTTCGGGCTATATGACCATGTGCCAGAAACAATACTGTATATTGCAAGTGATAGAGGAAAGAAAGGAAGCAGCATGTAGTAATTTGAACATTGGACTAGGATTCTGAAGACCAGGGTTTGAATCCCTGTTTAGCCATGGAAACCCTCTGGGTGACCTTGGACAAGCCGCACACTCTCAGCCACAGAAATCCCTCTGCTAGTGTTTCTTTAGGGTCCTTGAAAGGGTCTCTTTGCAAGTCCAGAAATGCAACCTCAATATAAATAAAGACTCACAGGTACAACCCCCCCCCCCCCAAAAAAAAAACCTCCGCTTGACCAGAGAAGACCATCCAGGACACTGCTGCAGAGGCTGGATCTACACTACCAGATAATGCAGTCTGATGGTCAATGTAGGCTCATATAATGCAGTTCAATTGTATTATATGGGTCTGCACTCATCATATAATGCAGTTCAAACTGCATTATATGGCAGTGTCAATACAATCTGAATTTCTCTCCTCTAGGGTAAGATTACTATTTCATTTTGGTTCGTTTTAGATATTGGATTTGGTTTGTTTTGGACATAATGTCTTTGTTATACAGACAGAAGTAACCATTACAAATGCAGTAGGTAATTGCAAAAGCCATTGGGGTCTTGCAATTTCATTTCAGTTTTTAACAGCCACAAAAGCAAGGAAGACAGTGTCATCAACTATTCCCAGTTAAATTGCCATTTTGAAATTGAATGTTTCTTCCCGAGCTAATTGATATGTAGATCTGAAATTGTGAGAGAAAGGCAAGTTCCATCCTTTAAAACCATGTTATGCTTCTTTCTCGGACAAAAAGATAAACTGGTGCCTTACCATATCAAATCAGATACATAGTAGGCAATGGTTTGTTTCTTATTTTCTGAACCCCATTAATCACCCTGCTATTTGTTTGTTATTGCTCAGTGTCACATGTATCCACTTTAGCTTTCCAGCACTATTAATGCTTGGCAATTGTATCTATTGTATCTACACTGTACATACAAAATTAATGAGACATTGCAATGGTGCTATTCTCGCAGGCCTCTTGACCTTGCTGTGCCTCTGGGGAAGCTGACACTCGGCTCCTTCCCCCCCCCCCCAATTTAAGACATACTTAATTATTCCATACTGTAAATACAAATATTCTGCACTTTAATCATGCAGTCTTAATAATCGTCATTTTATTGCATAATCTTTTATTCCTTTTTTATGATTTCTCATGATTAAGCTCTAAGTATTGGACTACCTTGAACAGGTATGTGTGTTGTTACATGGCTTCATATTATTTCTGGCTTACAGTAACCCTATCACATGGCTTTCTTCAGGGTTTGTCATTGCCATCTGAGGATGTGACTTGCCCATGATTCCCCAGTGATTTCCATGGCCAAGTGGAGATTGGAGTCTTTTTTTTTTAAAGTCCCACATGCAAGTCACATCAACAGAATCAACAGAAAAAGCAGTTCAATACACGGCAACGTTATGTAGTAATTACTGTATTTACTAATTTTGCACCAAAACATTGCAATGTATTGAAACAGTTGTGGATCCAGGAGGGAGGCAGACTGCATTGGATAATACAGAATGTTGGATGAGCAAAGGTTGGATAAGTGAGACTCTACTGTACTAATAGTTGAGCAACAGCCCACAGCAAGCAGACTGTGGAGCACCGTTGCTTGTGGCTGTAAAGAATTTAGAGTTTAGGCAGGCAAAGATGCAGAGGCCAATCTTAAAAAGTAACAAAAGGTTTATTTACAATAAGAAATAACTGCATTTTTTAATAATCGAGAATTGGGCCTAAGCTACTCTAACACTCATCTTTTCTAAGGTTTCAAGAAAGGGAAAAACACCAAGCAGAGCGAGATCTCAATTCACACACCACACACTATGATGGAAAAACAGAAGTCAAAGTAAAGGCTTGCAATAGAAAAGTATCCATTCTACAAAACCAATCATAATGAGATCAGAAACAGAGAGAGGAGAAATAGATACATTCCAACAGTCATATAGGAGACATGGGGGAAGGGAAACCCTCAGACTATTCTAACTTGTTCCTCATTCAGGACTAGAGACTTGGGCGGTGTGAGGTTGAATTCCAACAATATGGAGTCCCTGGAAGCTTATGCAAGATCCCCCCCCCCCAACCTATTAGTTCAAAGGCACTATAGGATCCCTTTATTTCTTTTACTGCCAATTCAATTTACACTCAGTTTTGATTTAAAGTGTTTCTTTTAAATTAACAATTACAAACATTCTATATCTGTAATCTCTACACCCAACCAATATAAGGTGTTGGTTTTTAAAAACTCCTTCCAAGTGTAAAAACTGGGCACCTAAATATGAGAAAATGTTTGACATAGTTTTATCCATTCTTCTCAGCAATATCTATCTTTAGTTACCCAGATCACTCCTTGTTTCTGCTTAATTCTTCATTTCAATTATTACAAACTGCATCTAGAAGTCAAAGAAAATGCTACGGAGTGTGGTGTCCCTTATACAATTTCTTTGCATGTGAGAACTTTATGTCATTCCTGTAATATTTCCACACTTTAGTAATCCCATAATTAAAATGTGTCAGAGTCTAGGAAGACATTTTAGTTGGAAAAGACTTGTATCCGCTGAATTCAAGTATTAACACGTTGGTTTTACATAACAACAAAGCCAGCTGCAGAGAAGTTAGCAGAAAGCATGCCAACTACATAAAGTTACCTTTAATAATATTTGGGAAAGTGAACACTTAGGCATATGCCAATTCCTTTCTAGTGACTGTTACCTGTGACTCACAATTGGGTCTCCATATGCAAATTTGAAAAATAAAAAAGGATCACTAATGGGCTGGGATTCATAATCTTATTGATAGTGTTTTTAAAAATGTCTAGATTTTAAACATCGTTAAGTATGCTTCAGCTCTTCATTTTCCTGAACGTGTGCAGACTGACTGTTGTCACCATGGCCTATGATGAGTGGGAACTGGTGATTTGGCACAGCTAGGAATTGTGTATGTGTGTGTGTGTGGGGGGGGGGGGGTCTGTTATTGGTATACCACATTCTCAGGATGCATCTGTGGAATTAATGCAGGTTGGCACCACTTCAACTGCCATGGCTCAATGCTATGGAATTATGGGAGGTGTTATTTTCAAAGACTTCAGCTTTCTTTGCCAAAGAGTGATGTCTCAAATCCCTAAATACAAATACTACATACAGATCCCAGGATTCCCTAGCACTGGGCCATGGCAAGTAAAGTGGTGTCAAGTTGCATTGATTCTACAGTGCAGATGCAACCTATGTGTCTTGGAAAGCTTTAATATCTTCGTTAGATCATGAGCTGAGGGTGCAGAAGGTCCCATCTAAGTCATGCTGACATTAAAATGGAATCTGATAGCCCCTACCTTCCCACAGACTTCATCTCTGAGCAAGGCATAAGATTTGAAATGGCATAAGCAGCCATTTCCACAGAACTAAGACAGCAAGACATTTTAGATACAATACCATACTGTGAATGGTTTGTACCTCCTATTTTCCATGACAACTAAACAGACATTTTTTCATACACATATTGAATTTTAATATCACACTAATGATCTTTTCCCACTGATTTTTGAGTTTCAGCTTCTCTGTTGCAAACTTTCTTCGACATAGTCTGCGGTGAGGTTCATGTGACAGTCCCTGAGGGCTTTGATGACATCCTCAACTCTGGCTTCTTCCCTTTTCGATTTGCGCCACTCTAAAAGTGACTTCATCAATTGTTCTTCCAAGTTGTACGGATTCGCTGCTACTATGCGATCTAGTTTGGCTTCTGAAATTCCAAGTCTTCGAATAAGCATTTTCCAGTTTTTTCCAACGTTCTCGCATATGATTTCAAAAGCTCTGTCAAGATCACCTAGAAAGGAAAACAAAGTTTGTTATTTGAAGCACCAGGATACTATTCCAGTATCTGCCACCACCCAACCCATTCCTGCATAGCTAAAATTAAACTTGATGTCAAAGGAAATGTGGTTTCCTATATTATTACATTTTCTATCTCGCAGTGTGATTTTGTTAGAAATATGAGCTCCAGCAATCAGCTTGTGTTTGCCTTCCAATAAGCAACCATAAAGTAAAACATTCTAATTACAAGATATACTAGACGAGCAAAATCTCATACTATGAGAAACAGATATCTTTCACCATCTGAGGAACCATCTAATAAAAACGGAAAGATAAACACACGATCTGGTTTGATCCTGAGGTGACAAAGGTTCTTGGTTATAAATAAAAGTCAATGAGGAATTAATCAGGAACAGCTTATGTTTAAGTTGTGCCAACTTGCTAGCTATCTTCAATTCCCAACCAAGTGCCAACTATCCCTCCTATAGCAGCTTCTTGAAAAATACACACAGTGATATTTTTTGGCCTCTCTTTCCTCTTTGACAATCTGCTACAAAGGTGAAGATTCAAAATGAATTGGCTAGAAGGGAATTTACTCCCTTCCCAAGCTTCCTGTCTTCAAGTTATTTCAAGAAGTTCAATAAAAGTTTTAACATCCTTTTGAGCATAAATTCAACCTGTTCTTATTCTTATACTACTATTTTTCAGGGCAGGATTCTCATGGCTTAATGTCTTACCGAAATTCATCAAATGGCAGACTAAAACAAATCAGAATGCAGATGATAATCACACTTTTCTTTAAAAACAGAAATACTGTAAATGGCAACTCTACTCTAGAATGCTACCAGTGTTGCCAACATTTGCTCCTGTGCCTTTTCTGGCACATTTCTTTCCTTACATAATAAGACAGAAATCAATCTAACTAAATTCAGCCATGCCTTGCAGAAATTAGGCAATTTGATTTAGGTGGTACTGGGAGAAGAAACATAAAGCCGGGACTTAATATCTAAATAGTACAGTAAGATTAAGATGGTCCACTCCATGAGGCTTATGGATCTGGCTGGATTCCTGACAGCTCTTGCGGATTTTCCTGTCACCTTGGTAGGAGATTCTGTCGAAGACCTGGCTGATCTCTGGAATGGGGAAATGGCCAGGGCGGTGGACACAACTGCTTTTGAGTGTTCCCTCTCACAGACCCTTTCTTATTTACTTAGGCAATCCCTTGTTGTCCAAGTAGGATTGTCTTCCAAGATCGGTGTAGTGGCGGTGGGTACGTAGGTGACTGTGGAGCCCTATTCTTGATCTGCATCGAGGGCATTGGTTTCCAGGTGGAAGGCCGTCTCGGTCGGGGTTGGCTTGACGCGCATTTCTCTTGGCACGTTTCTCTCTTTCGCCCTTCATTTGTGCCTCCTCGAATTCTGCAGCACTGCTGGTCACAGCTGACCTCCAGTTTGAGCACTCAAGGGCCAGGGCTTCCCAGTTCTCAGTGTCTATGCCAGAGTTTTTAAGGTTGGCTTTGAGCCCATCTTTAAATCTCTTTTCCTGCCCACCAACATTGTGTTTTCCGTTCTTGAGTTCAGAGTAAAGCAACTGTTTTGGGAGACGATCAGGCATTCAGACAACGTGGCTGGTCCAGCAGAGTTGATGGCGGAGGACCATCGCTTCAATGCTGGTGGACGATGGTCAAGAGAGCACTGCGATTCACTGTGTCGAATGCCTTTGCAAGGTCAATTAATGCCATGTACAGCATCCATATTGTAGGGCTGTGTTGGCAGGTGGTGGTTTTCTAATTCCACTTTCACTGTGAAAGCAATGTTGGAGGTCTGTGCTTCTTCCAGCACGCTGACATTTGTCCACTTCTCTTCCCAAGAGATTAGCAGGATTTTTCGGAGGCAGCACTGATGGAATCATTTCAGGAGCTGAATGTGACGTGTGTAGATAGACCACGTCTCACAGGCGTATAGCAGGGTTGGGAAGACAATAGCTTTATAAACAAGCACATTGGTATCCCTACAGATGTCCCGGTCCTCAAACACTCTCTGATTCATTCGGAAAAATGCTGCACTCGCAGAGCTCAGGCAGTGTTGTATTTCAGTGTCAATGTTGACTTTTGTGGAGAGGTGGCTGCCAAGGTAGCAGAAATGGTCAACATTTTTTAATGTTACACCATACATTAAGCTGTATTTCTGGCATTGGAGAGGGATTGGCTGGCGACTGCTGGAAGAGCATGCCCTCACTGCCAGTGTAGAAGTTAACCTACTACAGCCACTCCAGACACCTTCTGCACCTGGAGGAACTATTTGGATTTCCATCTTTGGATTTGGATTTCCATAAAGCAAGATATTGTAGTCCAGCTCCACACATTTTATTTGAAGGCTAACTCCAGTATGTTTTATTACTGTACTGCTAATGAGACTACAATTCTCTACCAGCCCATTGTGATTCATGATCCTGAGGATCAAAACCTACTCCTACTAATTCAGAAAAAGCATTATCTACCTACCTTGATCATCCAGACGGTCAACAGGATCATCACCTCCACCCTTAAGAAACTGGTCCAGCTGAGTGAGCAGATCTTCTCTTTTCAGGGTCTCTAACATGGATCTTAAGAACTCTACATTGTTACATGTAATTTTTTCTTGCTCAAGGAGATGATTGAAGAGTTCGTTGCCACTTTTCACCGCCTGAAGCTTTCTTTTACCAATATATTCTTGGCACAGAAATTTGAGCGTATCCAGTTCATCTGAAGAAAGGGCTCTTGAAAATGAATTCAGCAGACTCAAAAATGGATCCATGGCAACTGTGAAGGACAAAGGGGGGGGGGGAGGCTTAGAGACATTGATATTTAGATTCCCTCCCCCCCCCCTCCAGTATTTGTTTATTAGTTTTAACACAGACAATGTACTTTCAACAGGAAAACAAAAAACAAAGAAAAATCAGAAAAGATGTGTATGCATGTGTGCGTGTAAATATATATGATTAAAATGAACTAGATCTAAAACAGAGTACTAAAACATTAAATGAAAACAATATGCACTAAAAACACCAAAATCTCATACACACCCAATCCAAACTACAATGAAAGAAGAAAAAGAAATGTCAAGAAGCTTCTTCACCTTTTTGTCCCTTCCAAATTATTAGAGCAACCTTGCCAATCTGCAGTAAGACTTTCTCCCCAAAATGAGACAAATAAAAAGAAAACTGATTTTAAAAGAGCTTGAAAAAGTTAACAGACCAGAATTCCCATAATCTTGGAAAGGAGATTCTGGGAGTTAAAGTCCCAAAACATAACTTTGGCCCCTTCCACACAGCCCTATATCTCAGAATATCAAGGCAGAAAATCCCATAAGATCTGCTTTGAACTGTGGGCCCTTCCACACAGTTGAATCAAATCCCACATTTTCTGCTTTGAATTGGAATATATGGCAGTGTGGACTTAGATAATCCAGTTCAAAGCAGATATTGTGGGATTTTCTACCTTGGTATTCTGCATTATATCACTGTGTGGAAGGCCCCATGTCTCTAGAAAAGACAAAACCAATAATTGTTGATTAGGTAAAAGGAAGTGGGATAAGGAAAATACTACATTATGACTGGATAGGCTCAGGCTGGACTTACACTGCCATACAATCCCGTTCAAAACAGATATATGGCCATGTTCTAGAGGCATTCTCTCCTGACGTTTCGCCTGCATCTATGACAAGCATCCTCAGAGGTAGTGAGGTCACTACCTCAAGACCTCACTACTTCTGAGGATGCTTGCCATAGATGCAGGCAAAACGTCAGGAGAGAATGCCTCTAGAACATGGCCATATAGCCCAAAAAAACCTACAACCCAGTGATTCCAGCCATGAAAGCCTTCGACAATACACTCAAAGCAGATAATCTACATTGAGAAACTGGAGTATATGGGTGTGTTGATGGAGCCTCAACCAAGGGAGCCAGGCTTTCAGGGCCCTTCCACACAGCCATATAATCCAGAATTTCAAGGCAGAAAATCCCACAATATCTGCTTTGAACTGGGTTATCTGAGTCCACACTGCCATATATCCCAGTTCAATGCAGAACATGTGGGATTTTATTCAGAAGTGTGGAAGGTCCCTTAGTTTGCAGGACTCTGATGGGGGTGCATCTACATTGTAGAATTAATCCATTTTCACACTACTTTAACTGTCAAGGCTCTATGCTCAGAAATCATGGGAGATATAGTTTTACAAGGGATATAGGGTCCTTCCAGGCAGACCCATTATCCTTGGATCTGATCCCAGGTTTTCTGATTATCCCAGATGATCTGGTACTGCAGACTCATAATCCAGTTTAAAGCAGAAAACCTGGGATCAGATCCTGGGATATAGGGCCTGTCTGGAAGGGCCCTAAGTCTTCTTTACCAAACTACAACTTCTAGGATCGATTTAAAAAAGCGCCAAGGCAGTTAAAACTGCATGAATACCAACCTAGGTCGTCATAATTCGAAGTCAACAACAACAAAGGGTCTGACTTCCTGTTTCAAAGTGTAATGAATGTTCCCAGGTTCCTTTCCCTTTTACACGATTCCTGGAGAACTCCAAAGGACGTATTTTGTGGTTGTTGTGGATGAGGGAGGAGGGAATCCGGAACACATAGCGAGACGGGGGCTTTATATAAAGTTTTAACAAAGTTTGACTACTTACTTCCTGGTTGCAACTTCGTCTGCGCTAGGAAGCTCAGTCCGCGGGAAGACTCTCCACCCACTGCTTCGTTCTTCTCCGGAAATCCCTCGCTAAAGCGGTCAGGTGCAGGATGCCCTCACGGCCGCAAGGTGGCACTCTTTGCGCACAGTGTCACCCTAAGCCTAGGGAAAGCAAACACGGGACGCCCAAGGAGCGCCAAGACTCTTTTGCAAAACTTAACATCACACTTAAAAAATCCACTTACAATCGGGTTTCTGTAAAAAGGTAAAGGTAGTCCCCTGACATTAAGTTCAGTCATGTCTGACTCTGGGGTGTGGTGCTCATCTCCATTTCTAAGCCGAAGAGCCAGCGTTGTCCGTAGACACCTCCAAGGTCATGTGGCCGGCATGACTGCATGGAGCGCCGTTACCTTCCCGCCGGAGCGGTACCTATTGATCTACTCACATTTGCATGTTTTCGAACTGCTAGGTTGGCAGAAGCTGGGGCTAATAGTAGGAGTTCACGCCGCTCGAACCTGATTCAGAATTCTGGGATTTGTAGTTTAGTAAAGGTTTTCCCCTAACATTAAGTCCAGTCGTGTCTGACTCTAGGGGTTGGTGCTCATCTCTATTTCTAGACACCTCCAAGGTCATGTGGCCGGCATGACTGCATGGAGCGCTGTTATCTTCCCGCCAGAGTGGTACCTATTGATCTACTCCCATTTGCATGTTTTCGAACTGCTAGGTTGGCAGAAGCTGGGGCTAACAGTGGGAGCTCACGCCGCTCGAACCTGATTCATAGAATCCTAGAGTTGGAAGAAACCTCATGTGCCATCCAGTCCAACCCTCTGCCAAGAAGCAGGAAAATTGCATTCAAAGCACCCCGACAGATGACCATCCATCATCTGTTTAAAAGCTTCCAAAGAAGGATTCGAACGTGCGACCTTTTAGTCAGCAGGTTCAGCAGCTCAGCGGCTTAACCTAGTGCGCCACCGGGACTGTTAAAGGTTCCTCCCTAAACTACAAACCCCAGAATTCTAGAGGAGGCAGAAACCGAATGTTAAGTGGATTTTTTTGTCTAGCGTGATGCAGGGGCGTCTCAACCCATTATGCAAAGTAAGCATTTGCAGTATAGTTGATTTTGCCCAGGGGCGCTCTTGAGGGAAAATAGACCTTGACATATGCAAATTGTAGTTACTGGGGATGTATAGTTCACCTACAATGAAAGAGCATTCTGAACTCCACCAATGATGGAATTGAACTGAATATGGCACACAACTCCCATGACAAACAGAAAATATATTTCAGTGATTGGTTGGGGGGTTGCACCAAAATACTGTTTGCTTGCCATTGAAAATTACCTTGGGCCACCTCTGGTGTGATGGGGCCTTTAAAGCACTCCCCACGCTGCTGCGTTTACAAAGCTGCAAAAAGGGAGAAGGACCACCTTTTCCGTGCAGCTGAAATACATCCAAATTCTAACATAACCTCATATGACTCATATATACTCAGATTCACTGGATCCTGATGTTTCGATGGAATTATAGGATATATATCTACACTGTAGAATTAAGAAAGTAAGTAAGTAACTTTATTTTCATACCCCGCCACCATCTCCCCAAGGGGACTCGAGGTGGCTTGCAAAGGGATCATGTCCGAAAAATCACAGATAAAATAAAATACATTAAAACCAATCAAATCTATATAAATAAAAATGTAATGTTCGTTTGTGGGATTAACATAACTCAAAAACCACTGGACGAATGGACACCAAATTTGGACACACTACACCTATCAGGCCAACGAGTGACCATCACTCATAAAAACACTGAAAAACACAGTGTAAGGGACTTTAAAAGCCAAAAAAACAAAACAAAAAATTGGCAGTGTCGATGCACGTGTTTGCCTGGATAGTAAGGCCTTCCTTACTATCCTTAGAAAGCCTGTTCTAGACCCCTTTGTCTGCTGCCATTCCTTCTGACTACTAGATAGATTGATAGTTTCCATCTTCTTATCAAGTTTCTCTCTTTCTTCTTTTGCAGATAGGCCATCTTGTTTTGTTCTGTGAGCAGTTGGCAGGCAGAGCTTCTTGCCTTTTCAGCCTAGCTCGTCAATCAGAAGCTATTCTGCCAGTGTATCTCTGTTTCTCTTAATAAAAAGATCAGCTTTCTTGCTTTAAACAAGGAAGCAGTCTCAGTGTGACTCTATCCCAGGGAAAGCAAGTTCATTAACCAGTCTGGGATTCTGAATTTGAAGAAATACACATTGTGGAAAATGAGACTGCTAATAAGAAAATTAAGAAGAGCAATGCTGTAGCAGACCAAAGGGCAATGTAATCAGTCCAGGATTGTGTTCACATAGTGCCTTCTCTATAGGAAGTCCATAGGTTACCCAAGAGAAGCCCACCAAAAGGACATGATGGCAGTTGCAGTGGATCGATTCAGTTACACTTTCAGCACCATCTTAATTTCTTTGTTAAGTGATTAAATATATTATTTACTAGCTGTCCCCTGCCACGCGTCACTGTGGCCCAGTCTGTGTATATGTGCTTTGTGTGTGTATATATATTTGTGCACATGTGTTGTAATGTATTTTTTATTTTTTGGCTTTTTAAGTCTCTCCCGCTGTGTTTTTCAGTGTTTTTATGAGTGATGGTCACTCGTTCGCCTGTGTCATGTATCATGTTCTGCAGTTGATGGTTGGTGGTGGCAGACCTAGCAGTTGGTGATGGAAGGGTTAATGTAAGTCTTATTGGTCATTTCAATTAAAATGCTGAAGAATGTCATATGCTATTTCCTTCTCTCACAAGCACAAGATGGGAATGAAGGGACAGGAGTGAGAAAAATCATTCATGACATTTTCACCTTAATTCTTCTTGCATGGACTTTTAATTAAAATAACCAATACAAATGTAATACAATTAGCCCTCCACATTCACTGGCATTAGGGTGGCAGGAGCCCTAAAATATGGAAAAAATTTTTTATTAAAAAACACAATTTTAAAATCTGAGAAAGCAGCTGTCTTGGAATCTCTAGGTCCTCCAGTGCAAATCTGTGGTTAATTTCCGCTGGAGGCTGGCCATAGAATCCTGCTGGAAGACTGACACGTGTCTAGAAAAAATATCTCTAGGAATCTCCAGATCCTCAAGTGCACTGTATGGTAGAAGTTAATCATAGAAGTATGCTGGAGGACTTAGATATTCTTAGAGAGAACATAGATATCAAAATTTGCCAAATCTGCAAAAGAAAAACCTGTAAAAGTGGAGGGCTGACTGTACTTGTATCTCATGTAATTGAAACTGAATATAAATATTTATTAATGATTGACTAAATACATTTAACTCTTTTCCACCAACTTCCCCTATGAAACTGGGTATTGTGGAATCACTTTTCCTTTTAAGACAGTGACATTTCACAGGAATACAATAATATGTACACCAATTAATTCAGCATTACTAGCCATATTCATACAGCTCACAATTCAAATTAATGTTTTTGCTTCTCTTACTTCACTACAAGTTGTGTGTCCCTTATCCTAAATGGTTGGTAGCAGAAGTGTTTGGGATTTTGGATTTTTTCAGATGATGTACATATTTGCATATATGTGCATAATAAGATATCTTGGAAATGGAGCCTTGGTCCAAATACAAAATTCATGTATGTTTCTTAAACACATAGTCTTAAGGTATGTTATTGTTTATACACATTATTTTAAATAATTTTGTGCACGAGACAGAGTTTATGCACACTTAACCATTGCTATTTGAGCCACTCGTGGAGAGTTTCAGATTTTGGAGTATTTTCAATTTCAGAATTCTGGATAAGGAATAATCAGTCTGTAATAACCACATATTTAAAAACAAAATTGATTTAATATAGAGAATGGGATGAATAGGATGTTCTGGTCATTGAATAAATGTTTAATTGAGAAAGCAGATAGGATTTAGCAAAATTTGTTACAGGCTACACTTCCCCCTTAATTTACTTTCACAAAGTTGCATCTTCTGAAATCCAGTAGGAGGAGCTCAAAGAATGAGAAATTGCTGGAAAAAATAATGGACCCTTCTGTCTTCAGAACAGCTGTCGCAAAACCAGGCAACTTTTATGTTCTCACCTGAGCGATATATATGTGCAGTATATATTGCATAGTGTCTGCTTATTTATAGAACTGATAAGCTCTAGTTGTGCTTCTCAAGGAAGTGGTCTGTGAACCAGTGCCAGTCTGCAAGTCATTGGTTGTTTGTTCAGTTTGAATTTCAAAGAAACAAAGTAGAATAACAAAGAAACAGTTGTAAGGATTTTTTTGTGTGTGTCAGGAGCAGCTTGAGAACCTGCAAGTCGCTTCTGGTGGGAGAGAATTGGCCGTATGCAAGGACGTTGCCCAGGGGACGCCCGGATATTTTGATGTTTTACCATCCTTGTGGGAGGCTTCTCTCATGTCCCCGCATGGGGAGCTGGAACTGACAGAGGGAGCTCATCCGCACTCTCCTCTGATTCAAACCTCCGATTTGTCGGTCTTCAGTCCTGCCGGCACAAGGGTTTAACCCATTGTGCAACCGGTGGAAATATAGTACCAACTCATGGCATGATTTTGAGGGGTGGGCGGTGGGGTGGTAAAGCTGCCAGTTTAACACTTGAAGCACTGCTGTTTATTATCTATATAAATATTTTTCTGTACAGGAAATGATGCACTTGAGAATTATGCTATGGAGTCAGTTGTTTCCACTACTTTACAGAGGCCTAAGTCCCCCTTAAGATTAGGTTAGGAGGAGTAAGTCCTCCCTGTAATCAGTCATGAAAGATCAGGGCGATCAAGATTCTTATGTACTTGAGCCTCTTGAGAAATTATCAATCTGAAGTGTCCTAGGTTTTAACCAACTTTTATTGGCTAATAGACTGTATTTATATTCTTCTTTATCTCCCCAGAGAGACTCCTCCTGATATATTAATTTTATATTTTTATCAGTTTACATGAATGCAGGAGAAGTCAATGTCTGAGTTTACAGGACCATATCCTAACTCAATTGGCTTTTCTGCACTAGCAGTAGCCTCATTGCAGGTGCTTTGTTTTTGTCTTTGCACAAAGTGTAAAACAGA